CCCTCAGTGTCCCCGATGTCCCCTGAGTGACCCCAATGTCCCCTGAGTGTCCCTTCACTGTCCCCAGACTTCCAGCGGTGCCAGCACGCCATGGCCGCCCGCGGGGCCGATGCCACCAGTGTCCCCTCAGTGTCCCCAATCCCTCAGTGTCCCCAACGTCCCCAATCCCTCAGTGTCCCCTCAGTGTCCCCATTGTCCCCGATGTCCCCTGTGTCCCAGACTTCCAGCGGTGCCAGCGCGCCATGGCCGCCCGCGGTGCTGATGCCACCAGTGTCCCCTCAGTGTCCCCAATGTCCCCAATGTCCCCTCACTGTCCCCTGTGTCCCAGACTTCCAGCGGTGCCAGCGCGCCATGGCCGCCCGCGGGGCCGATGCCAGCCCGTGCCAGTGGTATTTCCGCGTCTACAAATCGCTGTGCCCCACCTCCTGGGTGAGTGACATGTCCCCAAATGTCCCCAAATGTCCCCAAAGTGCCCCACCTCCTGGGTGAGTGACATGTCCCCAAATGTCCCCAAATGTCCCCAAAGATTCCCACTGTCCCCAATGTCACCAATCCCCCCAATCCTTTTCGATGTCCTCAACACCCCCAATGTCCCCAAATGTCCCCAAGTGTCCCCAGTCCCCCTCAGTGTCCCCTCCCTGTCCCCAGCCCCCCAATGGCCCCAATCCCACAATGTCCCCAAATGTCCTCATTGTCCCCAATGTCCCCCCAATGTCCCCAGGCCCCCAATGTCCCCTCAATGTCCCCAATCCCACAATGTCCCCAATGTCCCAAATGTCCTCAATGCCCCCAATGTCCCCAGCCCCACAATGTCCCCAGTGTCCCCAACCCTCAAATATCCCCAAATGCTTCCAGTGTCCCCAGTGTCCCCAGTGTCCCCAGCCCGCCCAAGGTCCCCAACCCCCCAATGTCCCCAAGTGCCCCCACTGTCCCCAGTGTCCCCAGTGTCCCCAACTCCCCCAATGTCCCAAACATCCCAAATGTCCCCAACCACCCCAGTGTCCCCAGTGTCCCCAATGTCCCCAAATGTCCCCTGTGTCCCCAGTGTCCCCCCAACGTCCCCTGTGTCCCCAGGTGACGGCGTGGGACGAGGCCCGTGAGGAGGGGATCTTCCCCGGCAAGATCTGAGCGTGCCCAGCGCGGTGACACCGGGGACAGGCCACCGGGAGGGCGGGGACACGGCTGTCACCCCCCTGGGGACATGGCTGTGACCCCTGGGGACACCTCTGTCACCCTGGGGACACGGCTGTGACACCAGGGACACGGCTGTGACACCAGGGACAGGGCTGTCACCCCTGGGGACACAGCTGTGACACCCCTGGGGACACGGCTGTGACTCTTGGGGACACGGCTGCCACCCCCCTGGGGACATGGTTGTCCCCCCCAGGGCCACCTCTGTCACCCCCTGGGGACACAGCTGTCACCCCAGGGACACAGCTGTCACCCCCTGGGGACATCTCTGTCACCCCCCCAGGGGACACGTGGTGGCACCGCCAATAAAGGGTTAAAAACTGGGCCTGGCCCTCGTCTCTGGGGACATTTGGGGACATTGTGGGGGGGTTTGGGGACATCTGGGGACAATTTGGGGGGATTTGGGGAGGTTTGGGGACATTTTTGGAGACATTTGGGGGGATTTGGGGACAGCACTCAATTTGGGGACAGAGGAATTTGCCACATTTGGGACCCCCAAAATGTCACCTGGGACCCCCCTCATCATCATCATCATCATCATCATCATCATCATCATCATCATCATCATCATCATCATCATCATCATCATCATCATCATCCCATCATCATCATCATCTTCATCATCCCATCATCATCATCACCGTCATTATCATCTTCGTCATCCCCCCGTCATCATCATCCCACCACCCCATCATCATCTTCATCATCATCATCATCATCATCATCTTCATCATCATCATCATCATCATCATCATCATCATCATCAATGTCATCCCACCATCTTCATACCACCACCGTCATCATCATCATCATCTTCATCCCATCACCATCATCATCTTCATCATCCCATCATGATTATGATCATCATCCTCCCATCATCATCATCTTCATCATCCCATCATCATCACCGTCGTTATCATCATCTTCATCATCCCCCCATCATCATCGCACCACCCCATCATCATCCTCATCATTATTGTCATCCCATCTTCATCCCACCACCCCATCATCATCATCATCATCATCGTCATCATCGTCATCATCATCATCATCATCGTCATCCATCTTCATGCCCCCACCATCATCATCATCATCATCCCATCATCATCTTCATCATGCTGCTCCCACTGCCACCATCAGTCATCTTCATCCCACCACCCCATCCTCATCGTCATCACCCTCATCATCCCACCACCATCATCATCTTCATCATCCCATCACCATCATCATCCTCATCATTATTGTCATCCCATCTTCATCCCACCACCCCACCATCATCATCATCATCCCATCTTCATCGTGCCACTCCCACTGCCACCATCATTGTCATCTTCATCCCCCCACCCCATCCTCACCGTCACCACCCTCATCATCCCACTGCCATCGTCATCATCATCATCATCATCATCATCCTCTTCATCTCGCCGTCATCATTTTCATCCCACCATCATCATCATCTTCATCATCCCATCATCGCCCCATCATCATCATCATCCCACCGCCATCATCATCGTCATCTTCATCCCATTGTCATCGTCGTCCCACCACCACCACCATCTTCATCCCATCATCATCATCCCACCACCACCATCATCGTCTTCATCCCACCACCATCATCATCACCCCATCATTGTCATCGTCATCTTCATCCCACCATCACCATTCTCATCCTCCCCACCTTCATCCCATCCTCATCCTCATCGTCACCTTCATCCCCATCCCATCCTCATCCTCCCCTTCATCCCATCCTCATCCTCACCTTCCTCCCCTCCCATCCCCTCCCATCCCGACCTTCCTCCCCTCCCTCCTCCTCCTCACCTGTGTGCAGCTCCCGGGGGGGCCGGGGGGCGGCGCCGGCGGCCGGGGGGGACCGGGGGGGGTCACCAAGGGGTCACGGGGGGACAGGGGGTCAAGGGTGGACACAGGGATGGACACACGGATGGACACAGGGGTCAGGGATGGACACAGGGGTCAGGGATGGACACAGGGATGGACACGGAGGTCATGGGTGGCCATGAGAAGGTCATGGATGGACAGGGATGGACACAGGTCAGGGATGGACATGGGGATGGACACGGGTCACGGATGGACACAGAGGTCATGGACAGACACGAGAACATCAAGGACAAACACGAGAAGGTCACGGAGGTCACATCAAGGTCCTGCAAGGACCCATCAAGGCCCAGCCGCCCCCAGCCCGTGTCCCTGCCCCGTGTCCCACTCACGGCAGCGGCCCTGGGGACACTTCCCGCTGTCACCGTGGTCACTCCGCGTGTCCCCGAGGTCACTCCCGGTGTCACCACGGTCACTCTGGGTGTCACCATGGTCACTCTGGGTGTCTCCGAGGTCACTCTGGACGTCTCCGAGGTCACTCTGGGTGTCCCCATGGTCACTCCTGGTGTCACCACGGTCACTCTGGGTGTCCCCAGTGTCCCTGCGGTCAGTCCTGGTGTCCCTGTGGTCACTCCTGGTGTCCCTGCGGTCACTCTGGGTGTCCCTGTTGTCACTCCTGGCGTCCCTGAGGTCACTCCGGGTGTCACCGACATCACTCTGGGTGTCACCGAGGTCACTCTGGGTGTCACTGTGGTCACTCCGGGTGTCACCACGGTCACTCTGTGTGTCACCATGGTCATTCTGCGTGTCCCTGTGGTCACTCTGGGTGTCACCGTGGTCACTCCTGATGTCCCTGTGGTCACTCCTGGTGTCCCTGTGGTCACTCCGGGTGTCCCCGTGGTCACTCTCGATGTCCCCCTGGTCACTCTCAATGTCCCCATGGTCACTCCTGGTGTCCCTGCGGTCACTCTGGGTCTCCCCAGTGTCCCTGCGGTCACTCTTGCTGTCCCTGCGGTCCCCCCCAGTGTCTCCGGTGTTCCCTGCAGTGTCCCCATGGTCCCTCCTGGTGTCCCCATGGTCACTCTTGGTGTCCCCCACGGTGTCCTTATGGTCATTCTTGGTGTCCCCGTGGTCACTCTGGGTGTCACCGCGGTCACTCCTCGTGTCCCTGTTGTCACTCTTGGTGTCCCTCTTGTCACTCTTGGTGTCCCCCACGGTGTCCTTATGATCACTCCTGGTGTCCCCACGGTCACTCTGGGTGTCCCCGTGGTCATTCTTGATGTCTCCACGGTCACTCCTGGTGTCCCTGCGGTCACTCCTGGTGTCCCTGAGGTCACTCTGGGTGTCCCCATTGTCACTCTCGGTGTCCCCGGTGTCCCCTGTGGTGTCCGCACGGTCACTCCTGGTGTCCCTGCGGTCACTCCTGGTGTCACCACGGTCACTCTGGGTGTCCCCGTTGTCACTCTGGGTGTCCCTGTTGTCCCCCGCGGTGTCCCCGTGGCCACTCTGTGTGTCCCTGTGGTCACTCCTGGTGTCCCCATGGTCACTCCTCGTGTCCCTGGTGTCCCCCGCAGTGTCCCCGCGCTCAGTCTGGGTGTCCCTGTTGTCACTCCTGGTGTCCCCCACGGTGTCCCTCTGGTCACTCTGGGTGTCCTCGTGGTCACTCTGGGTGTCCCAGTGGTCACTCCTGGTGTCCCTGTGGTCACTCTGGGTGTCCCCGTGGTCACTCTTCGTGTCCCAGTGGTCACTCCTGGTATCCCCACGGTCACTCCTGGTGTCCCTGCGGTCACTCCTGGTATCCCCACGGTCACCCCAGGTGTCCCCGGCGGTGTCACCCCAGGTGTCCCCGCGGTCACTCTTGGTGTCCCCGGCGGTCTCCCCATGGTCGCTCCTCATGTCCCAGTGGTCACTCCGGGTGTCCCCGGCGGTGTCCCCGCGGTCACTCCTGGTGTCGCTGCGGTCACTCTTGGTGTCCCAGTGGTCACCCCAGGTGTCCCCGTGGTCACTCCTGGTGTCCCCGGCAGTGTCCCCGGCACTGTCACCCCAGGTGTCCCCGCGGTCACTCTGGGTGTCCCCGGCAGTACCTTTTGTGTTTGTACACACGGGCCGGGGGCGGGGCCGGGGGCGGGGCCCACGCAGGCGGAGCCGTCCGGGAGGCAGAAGGGCAGCGGGAGCGCGACCCCGTCCAGCTGGGAGGGCGGCATCTTCATCAGCATCGTCATCGTCATCATCATCATTGTTATCATCATCGTCATCATCGTCATCATCATCATCGTCATCAACATCATCATTGTCATCATCATCATCATCATCATCATCATCATCATCATCATTGTCATCATCATCATCATTGTCATCAACATCATCATCATCAACTCCATCATCATCATCGTTATCATCATCATCATTGTCATCATCATCGTCATCATCGTCATCAACATCATCGTCATCAACATCATCATTGTCATCATCATCATCGTCATCATCATCATCATCATCATCATTGTCATCATCATCGTCATCATCGTCATCATCATCATCATCATCATCATCGTCTCCATCATCATTGTTATCATCATCATCATTGTCATCATTATCATCAACATCATTGTCATCAACATCATCATCATCATCGTCATCATCAACTCCATCCTTCATCCAACCTTCTCCATGTGGTTTTCAACCATCATCATCATCATCATCAACTCCATCATCGTCATCGTCATCATCATCATCATCATCATCATCAACTCCATCCTCCTTCATCCAACATTCTCCATCCAACCTTCATCCATCCTCGCCATCATCACTACTGCCATCATCATCATCAACTCCATCATCATCATCATCATCATTGTTATCATCATCTCCATCATCATCATCATCATCATCAACCTTCATCCATCATCATCATCATCATCGTCATCATCAACTCCACCATCATCATCATCGTCATTGTTATCATCATCATCATCAACTCCATCATCATTGTCATCATCATCATCATCA